TTTGGATTGATCACTCATTTAAATTAATGAAAAAACTGTATAGTGCTTATTATTTTTTAGCTTAGTTTGTGGTGAAAACAAATTTCACGTGGAACAATGTTCATAAACTTCCCATCCTAAAAGTGAATAGTAACTAGCGGTTGCATTAAGGTGATACATTTCGTCTTAAATTAGGACTTGTCAACTGCATTAACGTGCATCCAAGTATTGATGTTCACACTGGGACTTGAACGGAGTCTTTTTCACTTTCAAGACTAATGAAGCGATTTATTGGAACAAGATGGCCATCAGCTGGTTCATCAGTTATAAGGTAGCATCTATATTAAGAAAGGTATCCTAGCCACATATAAACTGAATAATTTCTACCTAGTGATTAATTATTACAATTATCTCAGTATCCCGAATTGTTCAATAATAACTTCTTGGACTATAAAACTGAGTAACTACAGTTCAGATTCATCAGAGGCACATCAGTCCCTTTAAGATTGATGATACACCTTGTTGACTATTGTCATTTTCGTACGAAATCTAAATCCAAATATTTGTATTGACTACCTTAAATCACCTATCATCAATTCAATGTTAATTACATGATTATTCTTTGTTTTTTAAAAGCTAAAACTATTAACTGATTCAATATGTTTTTTTAATCTTACATTATCGAAATACATAAGAAAACTGTTAGACAACTTTTTTCTTTATTTTGATTGTATTAACATATAAGATCATGTGAAAGTGAATTTGGTTTGTATTCATCATAACAGAATAAAAGTAAATTAGTTTATTGTGCAAGTCTATGATAATAATTTTATAATCTTATTTAATATATAACTGTGTACCATATGGTTTATATATCAATATAGATTAAAACAAAATATGTTTATTTTTATATTATTTAGTTAAGAAAATTAATTATAACATTATCATTAATTAAATATTCAATATTGTGATTTATAAAGGTTAATTAACTTTAAAGATAATTTTTCATTATGAACTTATATTCGGAAGGTGTTTTATGGAGATTTTAGTATTTTAATAGTTGAAATCATGAATCATGAATTGAAGCTAGACCATCATGAAAAACCTGGAAGCATTGGACGCCCGTTTCGTCCTATTATGGGGCACCTCAAGTTAGACATTAACACCGTTGAATGCCGGCAGGCTCAGTGGTCTAGTGGTTAAGTGATCTAGCTCGAGACTGGTAGGTCCTGGGTTCGAATCTAGATCGCAAGGCGGGATCGTGGTGGTGCACTGCTGAGGAGCCCCACAATAGGACGAAACGGTCATCCAGTGCTTCCGGGTTTTCCATGGTTGTCTAGCTTCAATTGACTCATGATTTCAACTATTAGGTAATTGTATGCTAACCCCAAGAACTATGGATATTGTAACCATTCTAGTAATTGAGATTTCTTTGTTCAGTTAAGTATGTAGTGGTTAATGTTTGCTACAGGTGGTATGTAAAAGTAGAGACATATTATTATTTTAGACATTGATGAATTCAACTGATCATTAATTTTCATTAAAATGTTTAAACGATAATTTTTGAATCATAAAGTGACTTATAAAAATATAAACTATTACATTTTTGTACAGTATTTTAAATGTATCACATTTCATGAGTAACTTGTATGTTTTAGACTTTATTCTAATGAGATTACTTGTATACAGCGTTGATTCCTAGTTGACAATAATTAAAAACAACTATTCACTGTTCAAACTCGAACAGATAGGTGACATTTGACAGTCAACCAAAATTTTTAAAGCATAGCAATCACTTCATCATTTCAATTTATTAAAGTGATATATTAAATTAAGTTACTTAAGTAAAAATCACCTTTATCAAATTAATATGTAATCAGTTTTTTAATAATTTCTCTTAATTGAAACCGAAAAAAATTAAATTTCACATTGTTACTAGGCATTTCACATTTCAGTTATGAACACTGATAAATAAGGAAAATATTTATATGTAAATATAAACTGTACATTTATGGATTATATTACATTCGAAAACAATTAAATAAACTTGGATCATATTGAGAAAATTAAAAAAACATTTGTATTGACAGATATCTTTTCAGTATTACTGCATTTACTTGATCTCGAATGATCATTTTAATAATATCAATTTCAATGGATAATGTATAACATATTTATAAAGTATGTAGAGATATTCCAGTTAACTTTGTAGTAGGATAAAGAACCTAGTGAAATGTATTAATAGCAAACAGCTTTAATTACAAATATCGACAATTAGGTATAATTTAATCAAGTTGAAATTATATAATTTAATAATTGAGATCATGAGTCAATCGATGTTAGACTACCATGGAAAACCTGTAAGAACTGGACGGTTGTTTCGTCCTGTTTTGGGACTCCTCAGTGGTTCGCATCCACGACCCCGACCTATCGGTCTCGCGCTTACGAACTCTTAACCTCTCGACTACTGAACCGGCTGGCACCCAACGATGTTAATGTATAACTTCAACCGATCCACGAAATCGACCTATGCATCGACTATTGTCTTTAGTGAGTTACTATCTCACAACAGACCTGGTTGAACTCCATTAGTCACTTATTCTCATTAGAACTGCAGTAAATTCCTCTTGAAACCAGTCACAAATGAGTATAAGCTGTCATTCAATAAAATTTTATTTGTGTTCAAGCAGCCTAACCAACTAAATCTCACATGAACATTATAGTCATTATATTTGATAAGTATTTTTTTTATACTTATCATTTTAATCTTGAATCTTCAAACGATGATTATTGGTAGAGTAATGATAAACTAATTAATTTCATCATAATTTATAAACTGTATCTAATCAACTGATATGAAAATATTTACATTAATACTTATACATTAGTCAATGATATACAATTACATAATGTTAAACTATCGATGTTGTTTTCTATCAGAAGAATAAGTAATAAAAGTAATAAACAGTTATATGTATCATAAAAATAAACAAAATCATCAATAAGGATACCATTATCATAATGATAAATAAATTTTATAAAGTCAATTTATTATTTATTTTTTTAAGTGGATAATTGACATATGTATATAAAAATATTTTTATCTGTTTATGATATTCACTTGGTCATTTATTTATGTCAACTATTCATTATGTTGTTATGATGAAGGTTTATTATTAAAGCATTGGCTATACAGAAATTGAAACCCCCTTTATATGTTTAATCAAAATCAATTCATTATTAAACTAACAAACAAACAAGTAGAATGAATTTTGTCAGTAGTTCTTATTTTATATTTATGAATGTAGGAAATAGAATATTTTGTGCCAGTTTTCAATTTTTTTTTACTCTAATTTACACCAACCATTTCATATACAATCAAATCCATCATATTTAAACCTCTTGATGAAAATTCTATATTTGAATAACATGGAGAGAGTTTATTGATTGACACTTTAAAATTCAATTCATGAATGTTATGTTGTAAAGCATCAGATTAATTCGTTAGTGAAGCAGTTTCACATTTCAGGTCATAACTTTCACTTGAATATTTAATCTGAATTTGATTAATAGCTAAAATAAAATTACTAACATGTGAATTGATCTTTCAGGGATATCTGCCAACTATGAAGAGGGTTTTCCTAATAAAATGATAAAATAGTTCTTTTTAAATATCTAACATGTAGGCATTATTAGATATCAATAACACCAATCATAAGATTTTGAGCTAAAACTAGAAAGATGAACGTTTAAATACTTTTTATACCGTAATGAAAGAAATGATCTATTTTATTTAATAGTTCATTTTATTTATTTACTTACTTCGTTTAAAATCTATTGTGACATCATTATGCTTTCTGCGTAGTGAACGAGAACATGAATGGAGACAATAAAGTGTATTTGAGCACAAAATAGAGAATCTCTTAGTGAGATCTCAGAATCATACAGTAAATACTTCATTTTTAAAATATCAATCAATTGTCTCAAACTTGACTGTTCCTTTGCAAATGTTAATCAATCGTCTCAGACTTCACTGTTCCTTCATTTGCATACTAATCACTTTCTGTTTCCGTTCTTTTCTTCTCTATCTTCTTAACGTTCTTCTGACAGAAATTCTATCCCTGATTATCATTATATACTACTAATGTTGATTTATGTAGCACACACTACATTTGTATGACTGTTTCCAACAGATGAACACTCATTAATCTTATCTATCTTATTAAATATCCAGTATCTCATAATCAGGTTTCTTATCCGTAATCAATGTAGTTTCAAACTCATTTGAATTGTTTAATCTATATAAAATTTTATTTATAAGAATATAACTAATTTCAACTATAGATCGTTTGCAGCCGATGAGCAACCTCGAAATATGATAGATTATTTCTATTTTGAAGATGTTAATCCGTACGCTCGGTTTTTAATTATTGAAACATGTGTATATTACCTGTTACTCTTAACACAGTTTTTTCAGTCACATTGTTTTAATCCTGTATGCATAATAAATAATGTTGTGCACAGCTATTGAGTTGTCAACCTGTGATGAAAAATTTCCTGCAAACTAGAGGATTTCTACAGGTTTCCCAATGTATTAAGGGCAATAATATAAACACAGGTTACTGTCTTAGAGAAGAATCTCATGGTTCTAGTAAAACACCAATGTTGTGTAAATTTTGACGACGTAAGAAGTAAAACTGTTACTCACCATTGCTCTTGGATAATATTGTGTACTATTGTACATTGATTGTACTCAAAAATATAAACTATTTAATCCAAGTTCTGTGACTAGGTGCTAACGCTCTCACCGTACGATTCCTGGTCGGATTTTGAGGGACGCGAAACTAAGACGAGAAAACTATTTTGTGCTTCATGAATTTCATCACAAATCTAGTTGGTGGTAAGTTGACAGATCTTATTCTAATCATAAATTGTACTCGTTATATGATTTTTTATTTAGTATTTGTCACAATGATTCATTCACCTAAAAATATACTACATTCTGATATTCTCTTTTGCAGTTACATTCACAAGTTGTTAATAATATATTAACATGTGTTTTGGCTTTTGGAATGATAGCAGTTTATAGTTGGATGCTTATTGAAGGAATACATTTAATGAATATTTTATTCTTAACATTTATTGTTAGAAGATTTCGTTTCACTTGTTATAGTATCATTGGTTGGGGTAAGTTATTCGATGTGTTTTTCAACATTGTTTTAGTTAAAATATCATGATGTTTTAAAACTTTAGACTTTCGGGTTATCAATTTTAATTACGATAGATAATGCTAAAGCTCTTTCACATAATAAGGAAATTATAACCGTGCCAGAATAACTGTTAACATGAAACTGAATCATTTCTCTTATACCTAATCCCAGACAGCATCCAATAAGCTAAATCATAGTGTTCTTGGTTGTATAGTTGAGTGATTAAGATCCTGTCCTCTATTGGTTTGTAAGATTCCTGCATACCGACACTTATAGATACAATATTAAGAATAAACTGTGTATTTACACGGTAATCAGCAGTCATGAAACGTCAAAAGTAGTTTCATATGTCTGATTAAAATGAAATGCTGTCTCAATTAAACTTCTCTACTCTAAAATATCTGGTATATTTCACTACAGTTTTAGTAATTTAATTCACTTGTTTTGTTTAATTTTGTAGGTATTCCAGCTGTATTGACGTGTTCATGGGCAATTGCCAAATCAGTGAAATTAGGACATATACAGTAACCTATTTTATTTGTTTTTCCTAATATCCATTTATAATATATAGAAATATTATTATTTCGAGCCAATCAGTGAAGAGTCTTCAACATATATTTCATGCAAGTTAGTACTCATAAAGAGCTCATATTCCCAGTCTTAAGGAAATTATAGTCGTTTTAGGATTTCTCAAAACATTTAAGGCTGTACTCTAAATATTATTTTGACCAACACAAGCCAAATAATTCCAAACTAAAGACATGCCACCACTTGGTTGAAAGAGGTGTCTCTCAAAAATTTATTTTCAAGTTTATTTTAGCAGCATACGTTATGCAAAAAGCAAAACTTTAGTGAAAAGACTTACGTAATCTCCATATATATTAAATATTTCATTTGTTTTCTAGGACTAAAATTGATCAGACTCTGTTTGACACACATGAATCCTATTCCGATATCCTCGATATTTCCATTAGGTTATAAGCACTTCTCAAGTACAGTCTTAAACAGCAATGGGAAGATTCAAATTACCAATATATGAGAATTGGACTTTACCCCACTGCACAAAGCAGTGGTTTCTGGACTCAGGAGCTAAGTTAATAACGCTATGGCATTCGAAGTGAATGGTACTGGGTTTGATTTTCATGATAAACATCAACTCTTGAATGCACGTACATTTAGCTGAAGAGTTCCAAGTAGGAAGTGGATTCCACTACGACCCACTATTCAACTCTTTTTTAAAAAATACTCCTGTAATCAACTTGTTACTTATCATATTAAATAAAAATCCTTAAATATTGAATGACAATGTTGCCCTCCTACAAATTAATTAAGAACTTGATCACGAGAAACTGGTTCTGTTTGATTGTCAAGATAATCAATCAACCAACAAACATTACATCTCTAATAGAAAGGTGTAAAACCAAACATTATTCAAACATCTTATTTAACTCTTTGAACATTATGAGAAAACGCCTACACTTTCACCGAATAACACATTTGTTTGCGACACTGAAAAAAGGATATTGAAGAATTTCTTTGTCTTATAGTTGAAACACTGACTACAACACAACATTTGTATTATAAGATAATATAAATCAACCTGCTGTATGTTAAGATTTATGATACAATCGCATGTATGAAAAACATTTCAGGTCCCCTAGATTTGAATTGTTCAAGCAACTTTGAGAAATATCCATAACTCTGTGTAACATGTTTAACAATCGCTTATTTACTCAAAAAAGAATAAAATGAAATCTAACAGTAGAAACGTCATTTAACTCTATATCGAATGTTATTTCTAATAACGGCAGAATTCGTAACGCTTTTTATAGTTTTTAATGGCTTATATTATAGTATTTTTCGATTAGATATAATATTGAATAAGCTTAACAGTAGACAGTCAGATATATTCAATTCGTATAGAAAGATAGCTCGAGAAAATCAGAATATCTTCAGAAGATTACCTACTCTATATCTGCAATATACATAAGGTTTTGTGGTAACTTTAATAGCAAAACACCTTAAAACGTTGACTCATTCATATTCATGTTCACATAGGGACTTTGCAATATTATTTTACAAACGTAGTAGCTTTGTTGTGACTTACAAACATGTTTTCTTCTGAATGACCTTTCGAAAACACTGTACATAAATAAAAACATTTAATTCTAATTTGGCCAAATCGATTTCTCAGAAAAACGTTAGGCAGCTACCAGATAAACTTGTATTCCCGTCACAAGATTGAAGGGATCAGAACTTTACAGCTAAAACAGTTATATCATAGTTAATTTTGGCAAAATTACTACTTTGTATTATTTAATATTAGGAGTCATTGGTAGTTCCTAGAAATCGTCTTTAGAAACTAACTTCCAAAAATACTTTGATTAATTAGAATTCATATAAATCGTCTTAGGAAAATCGAGAAGATAACTCATTGTAGTCAACTAACTTTATTTAGTCAATTATCAACTAAATCATTTTACCCTGAAAATTATGAAATCCCTAACTTACTTACTTATTTACGCCTGCTATTCCCAATGGAGCATAGGCCGCCGACCAGCATTCTCCAACCCACTCTGTCCTGGGCCTTCTTTTCTAGTTCTATCCATTTTTTGTTCATTCGTCTCATGTCTGTCTCTATTTCTCGGCGTAATGTGTTCTTCGGTCTTCCTCTTCTCCTTCGACCTTCAGGAGGGGCTTGTCTTGTGACACGATTTGGTGATTTCCTCAAAGTGTGCCCAATCCACTTCCAGCGCTTCTTCCTGATTTCTTCCTCCGCTGGAATCTCGTTTGTTGTCTCCCACAGTAACTTGTTGGTGATAATGTCTGGCCATCGGATCCGAAGTATCTTGCGTAGACAGCTGTTGATAAACGCTTGTATCTTCTGGATAATGGCTTTCGTAGTTCTCCACGTCTCCGCCCCATACAGTAGAACTGTCTTGACATTTGTGTTGAAAATTCTTACCTTGGTGTTGGTTGAAAATTGTTTTGAGCTGCAAATGTTCTTCAGTTGTAAGTATGCTGCTCTTGCTTTGCTGATCCGCGCCCTCACATCTGCATCTGATTCACCGTGTTCATCAATGATGCTGCCCAGATATGTAAAGGTTTCCACATCCTCCAAAGCTTCTTCGTCAAGTGTAATTTGATTGGTGCATATTGTACTGTATTGGAGAGACTTGCTTTTCCCTTTGTTTATATTGAGACCTACTGCTGCTGAGGCTGCTGCTACACTGGTCGTTTTCTCCTGCATTTGTTGTTGCGTTTGTGATAGAAGAGCCAGATCATCCGCGAAGTCTAAATCGTTAAGCTGCATCCTACCTGTCCACTGTATTCCGTGCTTTCCTTCAGATGTTGACGTGTTCATTATCCAGTCGATCACCAGGAGAAAGAGAAAGGGTGAGAGTAAGCAACCTTGCTTAACACAGGTCTTTACCTCGAATGAATCGATGGGTTGTCCTCCGTGGACGATTTGAAAGTTTAGTCCATCATAGGAGTTCCACATGATATTGACTATCTTCTCAGGCACACCGTAGTGTCGAAGAAGCCTCCATAGTGTCGTCCTGTCCACGCTATCAAATGCTTTCTCGTAGTCAATGAAGTTGATGTAGAGTGATGAATTCCATTCGATTGATTGTTCCACAATGATCCGCAGAGTTGAGATTGGGTCTGTACACGATCTATCCTTACGTAATCCAGCTTGTTGATCTCGAAGTTCGGCGTCCACGGAATCCTTCATCTTGTTTAACAATACTCTGTCGAAGACTTTTCCTGGTATTGAGAGAAGAGTGATACCCCTGTAGTTGTCGCACTTGATGAGATCGCCTTTCTTTGGTATCTTGACCAGAAGTCTTTTTTACAGTCTATTGGTACTTGTTCTTCATCCCAAAACTTACTGAAGAGGATGTTGAGTATCTTGGCAGTTGCTGTTACATTTTCTTTCAGTGCCTCTGCCGGGATAATGTCTGGTCCCGCTGCTTTGCCACTCTTGATTTGTCTAATGGCCATGCTGATCTCCTCAATTGTTGGTGGGCTATTATCGATTGGGAGGTCTATGGGTGCTGCTTCGATTTTGGGTGGGTTAAGTGGAGCTGGTCGATTCAAGAGTTCTTTGAAGTGGTCTACCCACCTGTTTCGTTGTTCTTCAATGTCGGTGATTATTTTGCCTTCCTTGATTTTCACTGATTATTCTGGCTTACGGTGATTTCCAGCAAGTTTCTTTGTTGTATCAGACAGTTGTCTCATGTTTCCCTCTCTTTTCAGCCTTTTCCGCTGTAATTGTTAAATCTTCCACATATTTACGTTTGTCGGTTCTGATGCTCCCCTTCACTTGCTTGTTTGCGTCTGTGTATTCGGCTTGTGCCTTGGCTTTTTCCGCTCTTGTTTGGCTGATATTGATTGCTGCTTTCTTGTTCCTCCTTTATTCAATTTTATCCAGTGTACCAACATTGATCCATTCCTTGTGATGGTGCTTTTTTGGCCCCGAACTTCGTGTCATGTTGAGACGATTGCCTCTTTGATACCTTTCCAGTTGTTCTCCATGGTAGTTCCTTCTGCATTGAATAGATCATGAAAGGCCTGGAACTTGTTGCTGAGGGTTAGGTTGAATTTGTTGAGTTTTTCAGCATCTCGAAGAAAAGCCGTATTGAACTTTTGTGATTTTGTCAGCGCCGTTGTCCAGTGCTTCTTGAGTTTTAGTTTCATCTTGGCGACCAGCAAATGATGATCGGATGCTATATCAGCTCCTCTTCTGGTTCTCACATCCTCCATCGTCCTCCTGAACGTTTTGTTGATGCAGATATGGTCGATTTGATTCTGTGTAGTATGATCCGGTGAAATCCAAGTGGATTTGTGTATGTTTTTGTGTGGGAATATGGTGCCACCTATGACCAGTCTATTGAAGGCACATGGGTTTCAAATCTCTCACCATTTTCGTTCTATCTCCCAGTCCATGTCGTCCCATGAAGTCTTCGTATCCAGTGTTGTCAATCCCAACCTTGGCATTAAAATCTCTGATTTGAATGGTCAGATCCTTGGTTGTGCACTTCTCAAAGATCGACTGCAACCTATCGTGGAATTGGTCTTAAGTGTCTTCATCGTAGTCGTTGGTAGGCGCATGGCATTGGATGTCTTTCATTTTAATGCCCTCTCTCTTTGTTTTGAAGGAGGCTTTGATGATCCTTGGTCCATGAGTTTCCCATCCTATAAGTGCATTTTGTGCTTTTCTGGATAGCATCAATGCAACTCCTTGTGTATGTGGGGCATTTTCTTCTTCATGAACGGAGTATAACAGAAGTTCTCCTGAAGACAGTCGTTGTTGTCCAACCTGCGTCCAATGTGTTTCGCCGATTCCGAGCACCTCCAGGTTGTATTTTCTCATTTCTGCAGCAATTCTGAAGACTCTTCCGGTCTCCCACATTGTTCGGACATTCCATGTACTTTTAAAAATTGTCCCTCTGGTTGTAAGAAGGTGCATCGGCCTCATGACTTCCGAAGGAACTCGGCTTTCATCATGAGGCGTCATAATTATTCCTTCTACTCTCAGGGCAGAGTTTGAATGGTTTGAATAATTTTTTTTCTGTTTAGCGTTTTTTTAGCGAGTTTGTTTTCTACGGGATGTGGTCGCTAACCCCATGCTGTAGTGCCGCGATTCGTTAATCGTTTACTTCGATAACCGTTATAATTCTAAACTTAACGGCGTGTAAAATCAGAAGACAAGGATAGCAGCAACTACAGTTTATTGTCGATTAACTCAGGTTCGAAAACTGACAACACCTGAGCGAATATGGACGAGCGAGTGAGCGGCAAGCGAGGGAGCGAGTGAACAGGCAAACAAGCGAAGGAAACGAACGAGGAGCAAGCGAGCGAATAGCAAGCAATTACATAGGCAATTTATAGTCAAATTTAATAAGGGCACAGCAAAGCAAAACAAAGGCTGATAATAATATTTGCGTGCGTACATATATGGGGAGGAGTATGAGTCATCGAATGATATTTAAGCAGTCAACATTTCGGCTAGAGTGTCATGTGCTCCAGTGGTATAGCAGTGCAAAGAATATGCAAATTGTTACTATCCAAATGACGATGTATGTTAAGTAAGTTATAAAAAAGGGCTTAACCAAAATTGGCTATAATCGAAATTGAATTTAGGGTGTTGCTATAATGCCCAACCCTCCTCCTTTACCCTGGCTTGGGAACGGCAGTAACCCCCAGAGGAGCTACAGGCGGAGTTATGAAATCCATAGGTCACCTATTTATTAATAGATACCATTGCTTTTTATGTTTAATTTAATATGTGAAGTACATTTTCTATATATTTCAAATTTCATTTCCGTTGGGAGTATAAGGTTTAATGAATTAGAATGTCCAAGGAGTCAGAGTTTGAAGATTTCAAAGTACAAAAGTTATCATTTCACTCCTCATATAATACCAGTAATCTTTGGCAATTCCAACAGGATATTAGTTCCATTAATTTATTTATTTGAAAACAAATAATCTTTAACAGACGATGATATAAACAATGTTCTCTTTTTTCTTTTATTCCTATTGATTTAATTATTTCTGCTGCATGTATTATATATAAATCTAGTCTTTGGGCTGAACCAACTACATCTGACCCTGAAGGGATACTTGTTGTCACATCAATTCTTATTACACTTGCAGTAAGTGATTATGAATGAATATTTCGATGTTAAGTTGTTGTTTTTGTTTATTTGAAACCATTGGAACTATTTAAATTCATTGTTCAACATTTCCATAAATATTTAATTTCGCATAACTAACTCATGTGAAACTAGTCACTTAAATCTGAATAATAGTTCTTAGAAATTCGATATATTTTTACTTACGAATCACAACGTTTTACATCGATATCCATTCAACGTTAACAATATTCATTTAAATGTGGATCAACTCACTGAAGAAAATGGTGGACGGTTGCTCAATTTCATGGATTGTTTGGAGTTAGACATTACCACCGTCGGATGCCAGCTCAGTGGTCTAGTGGTTAAGTGCTCGTGCGCGAAACTGATAAGTCCTTAGTTCGAATCTCGCGAGGACGGATCGTGGATGCGCATTGCTGAGGAGTCCCACGATAAGACGAAATGGCCATCCAATGCTTTCAAGTTATCCATGGTGGTCTAGCTTTAATTGACTCATGAATTCAACTTTAAAATTAAATTTCAGTTAAAATCATCAGAAATATTTTAAAGTTTTACATGCTGCTTTAATCACAAAGGCTTATAATATAAAATATGTCCCTATTTCTAGTGTTCAATACACATAATCTACCTATCTGATTATAACAAAAACAGTACCACTGAAATAAGGTATTTTTAAGATTCGAATTTTGATTGCAATCATTTATATCTAGCCAAGTATAAATTAGAAATGTCTTTGTATAATGTATGCTTTTTTGTAAAGTTTCTTGTATTACATCTTTTTCATTGAAATAAAATTGAACACATTAAGTAACTATATCGAACTTTGTATTGTACTAGAAAATGGGATACTTTTTCTTTTTATCTAATTACATTAAACATAATTATAAGGATGTTTTGTGAACAATGTTTTTGCATTAAGTAAACTAAATAGCAGTACTTACATCTATAGTGAGAACATGGCCAATGTATGGGACATATAGATATCATTTTGTAAAATTCTAAAACACATTCAAGTTGATATTTAATAAGTAGTGAGGAATTGTTTAAAAATCAAACCAACGAGTTAATCGTGATGAAATCACAGTGAGTTTAAAACCGAAACTATTTACATTGTAGTGCCGTGCTTCAATAATAGTTCACTTCGATAACCGTTATTATACCAATCTTAACGGTGTATAAAATCAGAAGGCAAAAAGAAGCGGCAACTACATTTATATTGATAAATGATGCAGATCAGAAAGCTGTGGGCATATGAGCGAGCGAAGCAAAGATGACGCATAGTGGAGATGGCTGGGAAGCCATCTTCAATAAGCATTGTTTTCGCTTCACTCTCGAGTTGGCTTCCCAGCCATTTTCACTCCATGTCATTTATGTTCCGCTCTCATCTGTTTACCTCATCGCTCTGATTCCCTGGCCAGATCAATGAGTGTAGGAAATATATGTATTCTAAATCCATTCTCGTATTTGATTTATTTAATTCCGTTATTCACCAACGCGGATAAAGTCATTTATTACATACGAGGATAGACAGTACGTACGATCAAAAAAGAATCAGATTTAGGCCACCACAAAATCAACTATTTACATAGTTATCATCTATATGCTTGGAATAAAATTCATTGATGTTTTTCTGAAGTAGTAATTCGAATTCAGTGTAGGAGGAGTATATAAATTGATCTAATGATCTGCTATTTATCAGTTGAATAATAGTGATTGAGATTTATTTGCTTAAATCATATACTTACTACTTAATAAACTTTCATCAAAGAACTACGTTGGGGACTAATTGAAAATTATAGGACAAGGGATTATTAATTTTTAAAACTGATTGTTATTTGTACATAATAATCAAAGACGAATGAACCACATCACCAGTCGATAGAGGACAAATGGGAGGAAAAATTATTTACATAAACATGTGTATAAAGCAGTAAAAGACAGATATAGAAAGCTATTTGAGTGATATGTTCAAAACGATCAAATATAATGTTGAAAATTATGGTGCTACAAGACAATTGATTTGTAATTATCTAATATCAAACGGCGTTGATTGTAAAACGGGTTATTTATTTTTATGACTGTACCAAACTGTGGTGCATCGATATCTATTAGTAGTAAAGGATAAACAAGATGGCATAAATACCTGTTTGTGATCAACTGGTACCTGAATGTTTAATTGGAAAATGAGCGCTTCCACAAACCAAATAAATCACTAGTAACGTCTCCCATAGTGACGCTACGTGACGTAGACTAGGAATTTTTTGACAACAATTCATATAATTACTAACTTACATCTGACTAACTCAGGTGGTATAATTAGTTTTTGACAAGAGAGTTCCTATTTATTCAAATGGCTATAAATTGACGCACATACACTTCTCTCAGTTTTTATAAACTGTTCGGTAAAGTATATACTCTAGTTAAAATTTATGGGCAGAAAGTGAAGTTGAAACTGTACGTTTAAAAGCATTTCATATCATCAATCAACTTTCATTAAGGAACTATTAAAGATGGGGAAGAAATTAACAGCTGTTTTCTCTTAGTATAGTTATCCTTTATGAGAAAATTCAAATTCAATAATTTCTACTACACGCCATAATATTAACAATACCAAAACGGTTTAGTGAAGAACCAATAATCAACTTATTGAAGATGATTAGATGGATGAATATAAAATTAAAATTACGTCTCAACACAGTGCATTCAATTTCGAGTCACCTGGACTAATAGCCACATTGCAACTTGATCGATAGAATTCGATGTAAAGTAAGAAGGACCTGACACACATGACATTTGTCACTACCCAGTGACCAAACAGCAGGAAATGATTATTCGTGCTCAAAATAAAGCGTTTATATATAATCCATCAGTGTGTAATACGAACTAGCAGATGACAGCACGAAGTTACAACGCTTCCATACCCATTCTCATAAAATGCTTGACAATTTTGTTTTGTTTCGAAAAAGTACTTAACGTAAATCATTTCCGTCTCAGATTAAGCTTATGAAGAAAATATCGGTAGAAGTGTTATCACAGATACGAACATGTACTTTTCCCCCTTATTTTATCATGTATGGACTTATATTGATATACGCAGTCGAATACATCATAGAAGACATCTTATTGATTTTGGTTTGTCGTAAAACGAAATTTACTTCGTATAAGGTAAGCAAACACCAAAAATCTATTTACTTATCATTTGTAAATATGTATGACTTTACATAGGTAAGGTATAAATAAAATGCACTACGAAGAAGCCCTATTCACTTTGTGTTTAACTTAAAATCATTAAATCTTTACTTTCCAGGAAAAAATGAGGACAATCACACGTACAGCTATTATTACAGTCTTATTGTCTTTTTGATTTTTCCCTTCAATTATTATTCTCAGGTAAATTTTCTCATTACGTCAATCACATTATTCATGCTGTTGACAAAACTTCATAGACAACCAACTGGAATAGTAGGTAGTCGAAAAACGAAAGATAATAGAACAATTGAACTACAACGCCAAAGTTCACGTGGGACATGTCAACTAGGGTTGTTGTCGAATAATGCAATTACACTTAGTAATAAAATAACCACAATAACGATGACAGCTTTGGAAATAGCAAATAAATCTGAGGCTGAATTACGATTAAACGATAAGACTAGTATACAACAAGAAAGGATTAAAACAATAAACAATGATAACAATAATTCTATTATTACCACTAATACTGCTAATACCAAAAGTAATAATGATAACAAAATTAATATCACTGCTGAAATAATTAATCTAGATGCTCAAACACCAAATATACCAATAAAAACAATCCCAGAAGCAACTACAAGGATAAAGACGGTAGGAGATAGTATGCAGGTAACAACAGACAAGAAGATGCAAACGAAATTTCCAAAATCGTCTTCGAAAACCTCAAGTGCTTCATTATATTCAGCGGCTGCAAGTATCACTTCTGCAAATTCAAATGTTTCAGGAACTCAACCAATTAAATCTGATAAAACAATTATTATGGAAGATAAAATTATCAATAACAAACATACAAACAATTATGTTAAAAAAGTTTGTAAAAACTCTTCAATTAACCGATGGAAAACTAGCAGACATTTTCAACGTAAAAGTATCGATAGTAATTTCTTATCTTCCCCTGCAATACGTATAAAAGAGATTAGGTAAATGTTTCATTTTTCTAAAATGTATATTTATATATGGATTAGTGTTATAAACGGTTTCTTTGTTTGTCGATGAGATTATGAAAGGAAGATTCTCAGTTATTTAAGATAATAAATAATTCAGCCGAGCAACCAAACATAGATTATCGTACCTAGATTTTAGTTAAAGATATAATCTGGTGATAGTATATTGCCAGATTGCTTACAGTGAATTAAGTGGAGTGTCATTTAAACTCATATCGTAATGCTTGGTACATAAGTACTTAAATAACAAAACCATATTTTCATTATTGCCCATGTATTGAAATATATTTGAATATCGAATTGTTGTGTTCTTTGAAGATGAAGCTATTGAAAAGTTAGTTTTAGACTTTTGAAATTCGTTTTTCTTCACACAATGTCATAACAGTTTCAAACATTTTGTGTAAACATTCAAATATAGTTAAATTCACTTGGTGTTGTTCCCTTTTATCTTCTCATTGTTATTTAGGACTGCAATTGATCAGTCTCTTGTTGACATATGTGCATTTAGCGAGGATTGCCTCGATATTGCCTTAAGTCACAAGCTGTACAAGCAAATATGGATAGTGCCTAGCAGTAGAATCCAGAACGCGCGTTTCGTCCTATTCGGGACTCGTAAGCTGGATGTACCTGCATCCAAGATTTGGTGTTCACTGGGTTCCAGTCCTGGGGTATGCGCCAAATCTAGGATGCAGTTACATTCAGCTGACGAGTCCTAAATGGGACGAAACGCATATCCTGGATTCCACTACTAGCCATTATTTTTATTTGCTTATAATTCAAATAAAGTATTTACAATAGAAATCATCAATTTGAGATTCAGTGACTTACGTTTACAACTTCGACTGCCTTTCTATTTTATTTATAACAGTCTTCATTCGTTATGACTTTTATTTATGACTATGATCCATATTTTTTTCAGTATATGTATACAAACTATTAGTACCACTAATTCTCTGTCGTTTTTTTAAAATACTACAAATCTCTCTTTTACAGGAAAGCTATTAAAGCTATAATATTTCTGATGCCGTTGTTGGGTTTTTCTCAATTAATATTCCTAATACCCTACAGTAAAGAATTTGGTAGAGTATTTGATTATATCAATGCAATTATGCTTTCTACTCAGGTGAGATTATCCAGGTCGTTTATTGAGTTCAATTGTTAAATGATTTAATTCGAACATAATTTATGATAATAAGTCAGTGAATCAGTCAACAATACACTCCATAATTCTGAAGGAACTAAGAATTCTAAATTGAAGTTGAGGTAGATCTTTGAGTTATATTGATGGAAAGTGTTACGCTGCTTTAAACAGATTTACAATAAGTACCTAAGCTGGAAAATTAAATCTTCTATTTACACTCTCTTTAATTGTGATCTGTGAGCTAAATCAATAGAAGTGAATAGTATGGCTATTTACAGTCAAATAACCATATCTCACATTAGAAATACAGTTCAATGGAATGAATCTCAATAGACTTGAATTATCCGACTCAGTTCTAGACTTCTATTTCCTAGATTTAGTTATATATCTTGCTGTTGATACGTTTTAAACCCACATAAGACGGTTACGAGTTCAATCTGGTTTTTAGTGATCCTCCAGTTCATTTTTGAGAACGAATTTTGTTTAAAATAAAATCAAAACATTTAAAAACTAAGATATCGTGTAATAAATCAAATCCTTTTGAATATTACATCACTTCAGTGTTTAATCTATTGTGTAATCTTTTGATGTTTTCCAAAATCATATTTTTTTAAAATCTACACACCAAACATAGCCAACTAGTCTCAGAGGTTAACTCTCAAGCAATGAGTAACGATTTTAAGCAACTCACCACTTTGATTTATAGACTCGTTTAGTGAAACTACACACTTCACTAAAGGCATTATTTGAGTGCCGTGTTACATTATACATTAACACGCGTCTTCAGTCTCATTTGAACGTCTTTCTACAAATGATTGACCGAGGTACTGGAATCCACCAAGAAGAGTTCTGTGATGATCCACTCTATTCAATAAGTTAAAATTCATTGATTGTATGAGTGGTTCAAGTATTGCATTTATTGGAATTTCATCGATCGTTATCATACAACTACTAAAAAATGTTTAACAAATAAAAATAGTATATTATGGTAAAGTTGGATAGCAACTAGCAATGTAATTCAAAAACTCTGTTCTCTTTATTTGACACTCGTTGGCTGTAGGTACCTGAATCTCAGCACTGATGTTCGAGCACTGGGACTCTAACGTGGTATGTTTCACTTCAGACGCTAACGCATTATCTGATAAGCTATTCAGTTCAGATCTCCACTGATTTAAGCAACGGAGTCGAATTTATTATTTGTGAATATCTGTTAATATCAGGGTAGTTCACTCAGGATGCAAACACGCCAAAAAATAACTGATCAGTTTCAGTACTTATTATCTATTGAAAGACTCAAACTTAGAAAATAAAAATAGTGTATTTCATATGTAAATACATACGCTTCAATCCTTTTAAACATTGATAACTAATAAAATATTCAGACGAACTGCTTTCAAAATATACTAGTAATGTACAACTAAGTTTTAAATGTTATATATTCAACGTCCATCAACATGATTTCATAATAGGATTTTTCTGGAGTTTTATCCCTTTATCTAAATTAAAAAATACTATTCATGAGTCAATTGAATCTAGACCACCATGGTGGACTCATGATCTCAACTCTCTAAAATTACTAATATCTCCACAAAACCCCTTCTGATATTCTTAGATAAATAAAGCAAATAAGACAATTAATAAACAACTCTTAAATCTCATTAGATTAATAGAAAAAAAAGTTAGAGTGTTTAGTTGTTTCTTTTCTGTAAAGAACATAGAAGAAGAAAAAAAAGCAACTCAAGAAATTACTTCACATTTACACAAAAGATCATTCATTCTTGCATATTAACAAATTAAGTGTACCATATAAAATGTCTGATAGATGACTTTCAGTGGTCAGTAAAACAATTTTCCGAGTGAGATTAAAACTTGACAAGTATATGAATAGATCATTCATAGACTTATAAACTATGATTTATATAAATAAGCGTACTTATAATTTCATATAAATAAACAACTCGTTTTTATCATTCATACGTTAACAATACAGAAAATTAATAATTATAATCATCATTTATTGTTTTGTTTTTTTTTAATTTGAAAAAGGGTTTCTGGGTTGCACTAATTTATTGTTTTCTGAATTCTGAAGTAAGTTATGGATGAAATATTTTCTTAAAGTATAAAAATTAACTTTTGTGAAAATATATTTTATAGTGACGAATTCCACTCAAAGATGACCCGTAATGTCGCAATTTGGTCTGTGCACCACTAATCCTTACGGAATCCAGCCTGTTGATCTCGAAGTCGAGTGTCTACTGCGTCTTTCATCCGATTCAGCAGCACTCTGTTGAAAACTTTTCCTAGTACTGACTGTAGTGTGATGCTTCTGTAATTCTGATATTTGCTCAGATCTCCTTTCTTTGAGATCTTCATGTGATATCCTTTATGGTCCGTTGGCACTCGTTCCTCTTCCCAAATCTTCTTGAATAGAAGGTGAAGCATGTTTTCAGTTATTTCAATGTCCGACTTCAGTGCTTCTGCTGGTATATTGTCAGGTCCTGCTACTTTCCCGCTCTTGATTTGTCTGATGGCCATCTTGACTTCTTCGATCATTGGTGGAGTGACATATACAGGAAGGTCAGTGTGTGCTGCTTCGATGTTCGGTTGATTCAATGGAGGTGACCTATCCAGCAGTTCCTCAAAGTATTCTGCCCATCTTTTCCTCTGTTCTTGGTTCTCCGTGATTGTCTTTCCTTCTTCGTCCTTGACTGGTCTCTCCGGTTAGCGATATCTCCCTGCCAGTTTCTTCGTCGTATCATATATTTGTTTCATATTCCCTTCCCTTGCAGCTTTTTCCGCCGTCGTTGCTAGTTCTCCCATGTATTTCTGCTTGTCGACTTCAATGCTTTTCTTCACTTCCTTGTTTGCTTCTGCGTAGTCTGCTTGTGCCTTGGCTTTCTCTACTTGTGTTCGACTGTTGTTCATTGCTGTCTTCTTGTTCTTCCTTTCTTCAATCTTGTTCAGGGTTCCCATAGCGATCCATTTCTTATGATGATGTTTCTTGCGACCCAGAACCTCCTGGCACGTTGAAGTTAGCGCTTCTTTGGTCCCTTTCCAGTTGTCCTCCAAAGTAGTTTCTTGTTCTTCCAGTAGATCCCGTAAAGCTTGGAACTTGTTGTTGAGAGTTATCTTGAATTTGTTGAGCTTACCAGTATCTCGAAGGAAAGCTGTATTGAACCTTTGTAGTGCTGTTTGTCCAGTTGTCTAGTCTTTCTTTAGCTTCAGTGTCATCTGAAGCCATGTCAGTTCCTCTCCTGGTCCTCACATCTTACATTGTCCTTCGGAAATTTTTGTTGATACAAATATGATCTATCTGGTTCTCTGTGGTGTGGTCCGGTGAGATCCATGTAGCTTTGTTTATGCGTTTTTGTGGAAATATTGTGCCGTCTATAACCAATTTGTTGAATGCACATAGGTTTACAAGTCTCTCCCCATTTTCATTTCTCTCTCCTAGTCCATATCGTCCAGTTATATCTTTATATCCTGTGTTGTCCACTCCAACTTTTGCATTTAGATCTCCCATCAGGATTGTGAGGTCCTTTCGTGAGCACTTCTCTATAAGTGATTGCAGCTTTTCATAGAACCGATATTTATCATCGTCGTTGCTATCATTGTTGGGTGCATAACATTGGATAACATTCATTGTGATATCCTCCTACTTTGTTTTGAATGATGCTTACATGATCCCATCCCACAAGTGCATTTCGTGCTTCATTGGACAACATTAGGGCAACTCCCTGAGTGTGTGGAGCATTTTCCCCTTCGTGACCGGAGTACAGCAGCATCTCTCCCGTACCTAGCCTTTGTTGTCCAGTTTGTGTCCAATGGATTTCGCTGATTCCGAGTACTGCCAATTTGTATCTCCTCATTTCCATTGCTATTTGACTGCTCTTCCCGGTCTCCTACATCCTTCGGACGTTCCACGTACCTATAAAGAGTGCTACTCTGGTTGTTAAAAGGATCATAGGCCTCGTGACTTCTGAAGAATCTCGGCTTTCAGCATGAGGCGTTATAATTCTTCCTTCAACTCCCAGGGCAGAGTTTAAATGGATTGAATTATTTTTTCTGGTTAGCGTTTTTTTAACGAGTTAGCTTTTCTACGGGATGGGGTCGCTAACCCCATGCCCAACCCTCCTCCTTTACCCGGGCTTGGGACCGGCAGTAACTCTAGAAGAGCCACAGGCGGAGTTGAATCTAATAACTAATATGATAAAATGAAGAATAAAACTGATTGAATTATGCTTTATATATGTGTGTTACTTTAAATCAAATTTATCCTTTAAGTTTATTGATAAATAATTAAAATAAAACACTGTGGGAATTTTTAATAAACGATAAATATCAGAAAAGTGTTTTTGTGAATGTTATAATAGTTTAATAGCTGAGATCATGATATTAATCAGCATATGCATATTGATGACTGGCTTTAAGAAGTATTTCCTAATGTTCTAGTGAGAAGTAGTGACCAGTGGAGTACAATCTGGTCTATTGTGAGATAGTAACTCACTGAAGATAATGGTGGATGTATAGGCCAATTTCGTGGATCGGTTGAATGTTCAGTAGTCTAGAGGTTAGGCGCTCGCGCAAACGAGGTCCTGAATTTGCGTCGAGCGGGGTCTAGTCCCACAACAGGACGAAACAGCCATTCAGTGCTTCCAGGTTTTCCATGGTCGTCTAGCATCATTTGACTCATGATCTCAGCTATTAAATAATAAATATTTCGAATTAAATCATTATTTCAATACTATGAAAAGATCTTGATAGATTTTTAATCCCTACATCTTAAATAATATTTGGTAAACTAGTTCATTCGAGAAAAACGTGTAAAACATCCTGTGATCAACTTTTGTGTACCCTTTTTTGCTTCAATCGATTTATGGAACAAATTATTTTTAATTATAATTGTGTAGTAAGAATTTTACATGGCTATGATGAATGTTAAGAATTGTTTACTGTTATTTATCTTTAAGGATTATATTTCAATACTTTTATTGACACTTTAATTACACTGCCGTGGTGTGTGCTACTTATAGCGACGTAAGTAGTATATATACTAGTTGGGAATAGAATTTCTGGCAGCGGAACGTCAAGAAGATCGAGAAGGAAAGAAAGGAAACAGAAAGCGATTACTGAGGAGATGAAGGAACAGTAAAGTCTTAGACGATTGATTGATAATTTGCAAATGAATTATTTACTATAGGACTTTTAGATTTCAATAAGAGATTCCGTAATTTAGTGTTCAATGACATTCGATTGCTCCGACGTGTGTTCTCATTCACTACGTTGTTATGCACAATACTACTAGATGTTCAAAGTTGATAATTTCCAGGTATGATGAAAATGTATTTGAAAATTAACTTCGATAATTGTCAAAATAAAAAGCTACACAAATCGGTTATTTACAAAAACTGAATTAAGATATTATCTACCATGTGGGTAGATTTCATATAAAATCTGATTAGTGAATTTCGTGTCATCATGTTATTCAAAAACACAATGACTTTCTTGTTCAGTGTAATTTCATACTAGCAGCGGTTAATGTCTCATTATAAAATATATCTCCGAAAAAAATCAATTATTGTGTAGTACAAATGTACGTGATATGTCTATGAACGATCTACTCCACTACATGAATGAGATATTTTTAAAGAGATACAGGGAATTTATTCGATATCACCAGTTATACCTTAAAGCATAGGCAGTAGGTTAAAAAAAACAGCCAAAATATCAGATTATTATCTCATTGGGGATAGATTGAATAACTCTGAAAACATGTTTGATAATTTAATGGTTTAGTACATTTAATCTGCATAGCTTAAGCTATTAACTATCCTAGTTCTTCTAAACTTTGTAGTACACACTAAGCACATGGTCATCTTGGTTTCTCAAATCCTGTTGTGTCAGTGATAAAATCTGTCTATTTTTACCACGCTTGAGCCATGCTCATATATGAGACCCAACTTTTCATTCATATCATATAGACAGCAAGATTAATTTATGCCGATTTGTTGGAATTACATTGTTCACTCTTTAAAGTCAACTACTCTTATAAAGTTTTGTTATTAAGAAACGAACGCACCATGATAAATCCATTCGATTTAATCAATTTACCTATAGGTGTCCAAAATCCTTTTATTCAGTTTAGCAAAACACTAGTTCCATTAATATGCTACTTTATTCGTGAACTGATCGTCTATTTATTCCAATCGATTGTAGTGATAATGTATAACCTAATGATCTGCAAATGCTTTGATTTCTTAATAGAATTACTTTTTCTTTAATAATTCATTTAAATAAAAAACGATCACCTCTTCTTAGAATTTACATTTTTAGATCATTTAAATACAACCATTTCTATTTTTAAAGTAGATTGAATTATTTAATATAATTGTCAAGGAAATCAGTTCTACTAGTGAAAATAATGTTAATGGTTAAAATAACCCCCCCCCCTTTATTTCTAGGATGATACTTTATTATCATTTTTGTTCATTTTAAGATCTAAAAATTACATTTTTGGGCAGCGATTTGTTTAAATATTCAATTTCAAATAGGGTTTCATTGTAAAATGATACTTTAACAGGACATGAATATACCTTAAATTACCCTTATTAAATTAATTTATTCAGTATTGTGAATTCAAAAAAATTGAACAACACTTAAATCTCAAATATTAATAGTAATTCCAAGGAACACATTACGCCGGGAAATAGAAACAGATATGAAAGGGATGAATAACAACTGGAAAGAACTGGAAAGGATTGGATGGAGAATGCTAGTGGGCGGCCGATGCTCCTCCAAGAGGGTTAACAGGTGTAAGTAAGAAAGTAATAAAATAACAGAACTTCATGAAGCTGATTTCCTTTCGCATATTTAAACAAAGTCAGAACAACGTTACGTGTAGAATAAGATAAATTCATAATATTTAGTTGCCTTCTCTTCAACTACATACAAACTAATTGGTTAACTTATTTCTTATAATCAACATGTTATATCTGCATAGTTGTCAAGACGACAACCAAAATACAATGAATTCTCCATACTCAACAAATATTATCCTTACTGCTTTGTTTGCATGATAAAATCAACATAGATAGCACAGGGTGAATGAAATAATAGTGTTATTACAAATCCATTCCAACATTTAAATGAATATTATAATCTCAATACCATATCATTTTGATAATATAAATAATGATATAATTGTAATATCCAAATGAGTAAAAAATAAGATTTCTGATATTTAGTAACTTAATATCATCCATAATAAATCTATTTTCGTTATATCCTAATGAGTAGAGAAATTCTATTTCTGACGTTTTATAACTTCATATAAGCCATTTCCTCAGAATAAATAAATTACCAATATTAAATTAAACAAGTTTAAATGATACAAAGGAATAACAAAGGACATAACAAAAATATTTTTTTATTAACTCTCTACGCAGTGCTGAATTTATCTGAAACTATTAAATCCAACCTTGGTATGGATAACTATCAATGTGATAAATTTTGCTAATTAAACGCTATACTTGCTTCCTAAGCTATTGTTGTAATCCCCCCCTCCAAGCTAAACCTACACGGCGACTTGAACACGAGAGAAAAGGTTCAAAATATGCGAGAAGCACTTTACTCAGAAGGTTCTTTTATGCATAGAAAATATAGGGTTTTAATAGTATTTTAGAAGTCCTCAGGCTTTCCCAAAATCTATGGAATGCTACCAAACATAGGAGCAGTGTAGTAGTCAGTCAATCAGAACCTCTACATGTGGCTTTTCACTTTCGTGATGTTTCTAGCAAAACATCTAGTGAACGCTGATTGGATAAAATGCATCCTAGTATTTCCTGAGTCTTTCTTATCTTTTCCGAGAAGCTTTCTGGATCACCTCAAAACAATGTAACCTAGTTCTTCAAACTATAGATTAATAAACAAATTAACATAAATTTAAACAGTACACAAGAATAAATTCAACTTAGTATTGTTTGTTTGAATCTTCCCATCGATTTGTTGGTACTGCAACTGGTCAGTCTCTAATTGGCATATGTGCATAATGTGCGTATTGCCTCGATATACCTTAATTCACAAGCATGGTTAGCAGAGATGGATAGTGGCTAGCAGTGGAATCCAGTTTGACGCGCGTTTCGTCCTATTTGGGACTCGTCAGCTGGATGTACCTGCATCTCAGAGTTGATGTTCACTATGGGACTCGAACCCAGTATCCTGGAAGAACTGGACGGCCGCTTCGTCATATTATGGGACTCCCCAGTGGCAGTGCTCACTGCTGAGGAGTCACATAATAGGACGAAACGGCCGTCCAGTGCATTCAGTTTTTCCATGGTGGTCTAGCTTCAATTGACTCGTCATTTCAACTATGAAAATATTGAAATATCCACAAAAATCCCCTTCTGATCAATAACCATTTTAAGCAAAGATAGATGGTGGTTAGCGATGGAATGCAGAACACACGTTTCATCCTATTTCAGAATTGTCAGATGGATGTATGTTCATTTCAGAGTTGATATTCAGTCCGGGACTAGAACCCAGTACCGTTCGATTCAAACGTTATTGCGTTACCCAATTAGCTACTGAGTTCAGATAGTCAATAGCTTGTCAAATGGGGTGAATTTTAATTCATTTTTGTAAAACAAAAAAAGATAAAGTGACCATTTTATATTATTAATAATCCCCAATTTCTATGCCATAATTTTAAATGTACATTTGACCTGATTATTGACTTTTTTATTTTTGAACTTATATCCGTAGAACTAAAGATCAGAAGTCATCGCCAATAATAATTTTTATTTAGATTTCTATGATTTATTATAATGAAATTATTCAAACAAAAATAGGCATAATATTCACTTTATTCAATACCACATATTCTTCGGTATAATGTATGAATAATATGTCAAGTTGAAAATAAAAATGATTGTTATATTTCTTTTCTCAATAATAAACATAACCTAATCTTTTGATATTTAAGCATTTATAATTTGTCACCAGTTTAAAATAAAACTAAAGTAATGCAAAAAAACAAGGTACATTAAGTTTTGTTTATTCATATACTCTAATGGCAGTAAACTGAGAGATATCAGATTTCCTATTTGATGCAATTTATTTCCTCGCTTCATTCAGTTCGTGATATGAAACGAAGCTTAAACATTTTCAATGTACTAAAATAATCCAATGAGTATAAATTCTAGAATACCAATTTTTCGATAGTTATTCAGTTACTATCAGTTTTTAACATGAATTATCTTCAAATGGAATTTTGGTAAACAACTTACGTATATGTATAAATAAAAAGATTATTCGTACGATAATCAGCAAACATTTTCACTATTCAATACTCGTCAATGCCTGTCAATAAATGAACGAAGTATGGTCACAAATCAATACATTATATTCAGTGCAAAAATACTGGTTATTATTAGAAAAAAAATAGCAATTCCTGTCCTGTTCAAGAACAAGTTGCGTTAAACCCAAATAATTTTTGACTATATCTATCAATTATCATTACAGTATCTTTCTGAAATTAAGGCTTAAAAATGTATTCTATTCAAAACATGTCCACGCATCGTTTATATGATTGAATAAACGATAACATAAACATGGATAGTTTTATGAATAAAATGTGTTATGGAAAAATGAAAGAAAAAATTCAAAAGTATTACTTTTTTCTTAAACAGTAGTATAAGCGGTTGGTATTGTTTGTTTGTTTGAATTTTCCCAACGATTTTGTTAGGACTGCAACTGGTCAGTCTCTATCCATCTCTGCTAACCATGCTTGTGAATTAAGGTATATCGAGGCAATACGCACATTATGCACATATGCCAATTAGAGACTGACCAGTTGCAGTCCTAAACACATCGATGGGAAGATCCAAACAAACAATACTAAGTGAATTTAAACTTCACCCCATTGCACAAGCAAGTGGCTATGAGGACTCAGTGGCTGAGTGGATAACGCGATGGCGTTTGAAGCGAAAGATACTGGGTTCAAGTTCCAGAGTGAACTTCAACTCTGAGAGCAGGTACATCCAGCTGACGAGTCCCAAATAGGACGAAACGCGCGTCCTGGATTCCACTGCTAGCCGCTATCCATCTCTGCTAAAGTAGTATAAGCGGTTGAAAATTCACATTACAAAAGCAAGATTTTGTGTATAAAACTGTTTTTATTGTGTTGATAATTCAGTTTGAAATCAATTGAAGGAATTACTGCCCACAGAAAAGTGTTCCAACTCATGCGCCTTAATACGTTAACTAAAAAGGAAAACTTTATAGGTCATTCCATAAAAAAGTTACTTATCCTAGCGTTGATAATATGAAGAAGTACATTTTCAAATCCAAGTATACGTTTGTGTACATTCATTATTGTGGTATGATGAAAGATAATCCAGTCACCTAAAACGATTCAGTAAGTATGAAGTAAAAGCCCACAACTCAATATGTGGAAGTCAATCAATGCAGTTGGAAAAAACCAATATTAACTGTATTTTTAAGCTTCAAATGATCCGAGTTCATCTAATACATTGATAGACACTGCCGTTATAGAAAATCCTTTATTTAAAGAAACTTAAGCATAACCCATTTATATTTTCTTAGTAATGACATTTTCCTTGTATTTGCAAATCTTACAATCTGTTCAACTTGACGATATCTCTTTCATCACTTTTGTTTTCAGGTTCAACGTGTCCTTCGTACAAGATGGCGTATATTATGTTCAACTTTGAAGATTCAACCATCAGGACGTATTCAACAAAAACAGTCATTTATAACAAATCCGATCTTATTATCAAATAATAATTATGATACAGAACATCAATTTTAGTTATATCAAGACAACATAATTCAATTATAACACTTTTCACTTGTATTCCAATGTTTTCATTTGTTTCTATTTTATTAATTATGTACTCTGATACTTAAAACTTAAACCTATGCATTTACAGATGATGCTTTCAAAATGAAACCGTTTGGGTGAATTAATCTCTATGTATCAATACATTTAGATTCCTATGTATTTTTATCCCGACATTTTATCATGATGCTGATGATCTCAATGATTTAAATGTAGGACTGTAAAGCTGCTTCATTTTTGTTTTCTTCAAAACTTCTTGTTATAATATTCCAATTTATAATTCACTTCTCCATACAGATAAATTCACTGTTATAGAGATTAAAATACACATTTCATTCTAGTGGTATCATATTCTCTAAACTAGATTATTTGATTCTAGACTTTTTATTATGATTCTGAACGATAACATTATCAACTCCCAATTTGTGTAGAATTAAACAGTTGAAGAGAAACAACAATGAAATATTCACAACTTAAAAAGAAGAAGTCCAACTCAGAGAAGTGAATATCACTAAAACCATCCACATTATCTTTAAATCTTCACTACTGCTTATCACTTCCTTTCCATTTGTATTATATCAATGTTACATGACATGATTGTCAATTAATTCTACTTATTATTATTATTATTATTATTATTATTATTATTATTCAAAATTCACTTCATTCATATAATATTCTATAACAATAAATATTCAAATTGTTAGATTATCTTTAATATACATTCTTAACTGATTACTGATAATAACGATGATGTAAGAATGTATGAAATCAATTGTTTACTTTCTGTAATTCGAGAAAAGTGAGATATATCGTATGACATAGTGTATAACATATTGTTGAGGAATCTGTTGGAAGTGGATTATTCCATTTATTCCATTTACATGTTTCTATCTGGATCATTTCGGTAAACCTAGTAAGCCTGTAGTAATATAAGTTTTCTGTACAGTCTTTATTCTTTAGTTCTTTATAGGTGGGTTAATGAAGTGTTTACAAGAGATCATAGTTACCGATTCAGACAGTAAATTATATAATAGCGAAAAGTTGTTCCAAGTACCTCAAATATGTGATAACACATAAAGACTTACATTTTGATGAAATACATCACACATCTCTAAGCTATTTTAAACATTGACAATTTATAATAGTGAACATTATAAATGAGCAATATTTTCGATAAAAATCAAATTAACTTCAGATTGACTTATTTTCTGACGTAAAATTTACTACCAACTAGAGTCAGTTGGAAAATTATTAAAATAGCTGAAAACTCTCATCATGTTAAAACATCGATATATAAATGAAGAATATTCTTTTCAATAAATTCTCTTCAGATTCCACAATTACATATTCAAATATGTTCAACCTCTCCTATTACCTTGGTCAACTTATGGACTAATTAATTAATAATCATTCTAATGACTTAATTCGATCAGTATTCATACAACCCCCCCCCATTATGGTATTTTCATAGCTTGAACTTACCGTATTCACACAAATTATTATCACTATTGCAAACATTTTGAGAAATTTATTCAACATCCACCCTTATATTTAATTCATACTATTCTACATATTGTGGTGTAGGTTTGTAGTGCCGTGCTTCGTTAATAGTTTACCTCGATAACCGTTATTATACCAATCTTAACGGTGTATAGAATCAGAAGGCAAAAGGGAGCGGCAACTACATTTTTATTAACAAATGACGTAGGCCAGATGGCTATGAGCACATGAGCAAATGTTAGCGTGCGAACCATAAATAAGACGCATTGGAGATGGCTGGTAAGCCAACTCGAGAGTGAAGCGAAAATAATGCGTATTGGAGATGGCAGGGAAGCCAACTCATTTTTAAGCAAGCGTTAATCAGTATTTATAGCAGGCAAAAATGAATGACAGGCATATGATAAATAAGGTACGAAGTGTGCATACACATACGGTCATACAAAAAGGTAGTCAAGGTTAATAAGCGAATAATTAACAAGATCAAAATATGACTCATAATGGACAGGCGAATCGGCTTGGCCAGTAGCCAGAATAAAGTATATGGGCTTAACATATAAACTGATACTACATAGCCCCCTTGTAAAAAAAAGCATATTTATAAAAAAGTGTCTGTTTTCGAAAAATAACACTGAAATGGTATATGAATAGTGTTAACATGTAGGGAGAAAATTGTAGAATACCTGGTAAATTACAGTGTCACGTGAGGGGTGAGTGCATTAAACAAAAGTGTCATACTTAAACTGATACTACAGGTTACTTAAATCCCCATAGGTAGTATATAACGGCGGTCAGGCATTGAATGTATTTCAGTAGAAGATCGATGACGAAAGAATGGGAACGAAACACAATTGATATAAAAATGTTTGAACATTAATAATGTTTGCAGAAGGAAGGTTCAAGATTGAGACAATCGATTGATAGTTTGTAATGCCGCGATTCGTTAATCGTTTACTTCGATAACCGTTATAATTCTAATCTTAACGGTGCGTAAAATCAGAAGACAAAGGAAAGCAGCAACTACAGTTTATTGTCGAATAACTCAGATCAAATAGCTAACAACACCTGAGCGAATATCAACGAGCGAGTGTTATTTATTTATTTATTTATTCAAACACATATATATTGGTACAAAAGGGCACCAGGTACATATGCGCCACACAAAATAATGAAAGTAGGAAGGGAAAGGATGAAAAGATAACGCGGACTGAAATGTGCAACCAGAAGACTCTTTCAGTTAAGAAAGTTAGAACCATTCTTTATGTAGAAAGTAAAAGAAGGTTACAGCAGGATCGCCACTGGCTTCCATTCTGAGCCATATCTGATAACGTCTCTAGCCACTGTGTTGCATCATCTCTCGGACCCCAGCCAGGGAGTCGTGAAGGACCAACAGAAGCTAGCCCTTTGCAGCCCTCTTTTATGCCACGACACCATGTCATACACTGACCTCCTCTCCACTTTTTCCAACCAGTCCCAGGGTCGGCAAATAATGCACGAAGTGGAGTGAGTGAACAGGCGAACAATAAGGGCACAGCAAAACAAAACAAAGGCTGATAATAGTATTTGCGTGAATACATATATGGGTGAGGAGTATGAGTCATCAAATGATATTTAAACAGTCAACATGTTGGATAGAGCGTCATGTGCTCTAGCGGTATAACAGTGCAAAGAATATGCAAATTGTTACTATCCTAATGACGATGTCTGTTAAGTAAGTTAATAAAAAGAGCTTAACCAAAATTGACTATGATCTAAATTGATTGTAGGATAGTTGCTATAATTTTACAAATTAACTATTTACCGTATGGTTGTCAGATTTTAGTGAGATATTCTGTAATTTTATGATAAAGTGCATTTAATTGTCCTTACTCGTCATCTTATCATTACAGTAATACGTGATTTTTGATTTGTTTTCTTATTACATTAGTATCTCACTCATCGCATGTTAACCATATTTATTCTGACCATTAGTCTCATCATTTTATTTAATTCATAAACATTTCATATTTGTCGTTCCATATCACAATTAATACTTAATTCACTTGGTACAATTTTAAATAATGTATTTTGCTTTAAACCTGACTACCTCTTAGATGATTAATTTGAATATATGATGGTTGAATCTAAAAAGAATTTACTGAATTTATTAAAACTTGAAAACCGTTGGAAAACTATTACATTTTCAATTTAAACTCACCAATTACATTCACTTATGAGTATCAGTCTGTTTAAACTGCTAGGTATAGTTGAAGCTTCCTATTTCGTTAACTCTTTGATATAGTTTAACTTTCATTTAATTTCATCTATGCGTTCTTTTCTTTAATATTGATCAACCTTCTCTTACACTTAAATTCCCTCAAAAATAGCAATTGCTTATTGTAACATAAATTATTTGCATACTGGTGTTTTAGTTTAACACAAACTGATAAATGAACAATATATGAAATATTGGTCTTAATAGTTGAATTCATTATTCGATCTAAGTTAGACCACTATTGAAGACCTAGAAACATTGAACGACCGTACGGGACTCCTCAACAGTGCACATCCATGATTTCGCATGAGGGACTCGAACCCAGGTCCTTCGATTCCACATGCGAACACTTAACCTCTAGGCCACTGAGTGGGTATCCAACGGTGTTGTTGTTTAACTTCAAACGATACATGATTTTGCACAACCCTTCATTCGTTGTATGAAGTAGATAACCATCTCCACTCGACACGGATCGGACTCCACTGGTCACGGCTTCTCAATAGAACTCCAGGAAATCTATCTTGAAGCTAGTCATTAATGAGTAAATGTACTTAATTGTGATCTAGCTTCGATAGACTCATGAATTCAACTATTAAAATTATTATAATCTCCACAAATCGCCATTCTGACAAAACATTGATTACTGGAAAAGTTGTTTATGGTTGATCATTTTAAATTATGAATAGAATGAAATTGTATGTTGTCGATGGTGCCTAACAAATTGATTAAATGTTCATATTCTTAACTAGTAACTTAAAGACCTCCAAATGTAGATCACATTAAATTTTAATTGTCATCCTGTGGAATTTTTTAAACAATCTAGTGTTTTCTGAGCTTCAGAGATAGTCAGTTGATAAAAATGTCATAAAATTTATTAGATAAAATAATTTATCGCTTGCTGACTAAATTTCCCAATCTATTAGCCCTAATAAGTATAGAGAAAAAGATGATTCAGAAGTACAAGATGAATACTATGATAATAAAAAGAATATTGAAAGATAAAGTTAAGAATAGACATACAGGAATAATATAATTAAATATAATTTCATATTGTGGTATGCTTCAGTGCATACTGACAAATGTCATTAATTGTCCTTTACTAATGACTCTGTTGTCAAGTGATTGTAAGTAGTCGACAGGAAACCGCTGTTTGATGTTACCTGAAGCTTTTAGAAAAGACTGAAGTCAATCAGCGTTGAGCATCAAAAAGCATGAC